CGTGTCCATTTTTTTTTAAATGGGGTTTCAATTGTTTCTAAAAAGGCCCCCCCCCCCCCCCTTCTTTTGGTTTCTTTTTTTTTTAAGTGTTTTTTGCACTTATCTTTGAACTACGCCAGACGACTGTGTTTCGTATTTGGTGATATTTTTGGAACAGCAGAATTTGATTTCTTCAGAAAAAGCATTAAATCTCTCATACAGAGCCTGAGAAAGGCACATGTCTGCTTTTTAAAAATGCCATAATAGATGCACTTTTAATAATTAGAGTAAGTGGAAAATATTCATTTGCACACAAATTCTTCATTAAGCTATTATAAATTCTTTAAAGGTGACATATCATGAAAATCTGACTTTTCCAGGTTTTAAGTGCTATAATCATGTTCCCGGTGCATCTACCAACCAAGGAAACGTGAAAAAGATTAACCCAGTAACTTTGTTTTGGTAAGCCTTTTTCTGCAAGAGTCTGAGAAAATGTCACCAGGGAAAGGGATCTCATTATAATATTACCGCCCCTTAATCTGTACGTTTACACCCACGGCGCCCTCATTTTGATTTCACAAGCGACAACGGTGTACCAGCTCTAATGCCATGACGAAAGTTTGAGCAAAACATGCTAACTGTTCTGTCTTTGGCTGCACAGACGAGCACAGAACACTGTTTAGATCTAAAATGAACATGTGATTTATTTCCCAGCGGTTTACCTTCACAGACATAACCAAGTGTTTTTGTAACTCGTGTGTGTTTTTAACGTAAACTTGTGTGTGAATGAGAACTTAGTTTAGTACTCACATGCTGTGACAGCCGCTTTCTGTGCGTGTGCTTCTGTTGTGTGCACTCAAATAACAGATGTTTTTAGCAGATACGAGCTGTAATGGCGCAGCTCTATTCTGGAAAAGGGGGCGGGGAGCAGCAGCTCATTTGCATTTAAAGAGGCCGGCCCAAAAAACAGCCCGTTTCTGCTTCCACTCAAAATAGGCATTTTCAGAATGATATAATAAATGATCTGTGGAGTATTTTGAGCTGAAACTTCACAGTTACATTCTGGGGACACCAGGGACTTATATTGTATATTGTAAAAAGGGGCATACTATGTCTCTTTTAAGCTTATTCTATTTGTTAGGCTAGTACCGTATTGACCCGAATATAAGACAATGTTTTTTTCTTGGAAATACATCTGAAAAAACACGGTCGTCTTATTTTCAGGGTCTAGACTTTGACATGCCAATAATACACCCACAACAATAGGTGGCGCCAAATACGCATAAAACGAGTGTGCCATGAAATACGTAATGTAATGCGTGTTGTAAAGATCGCGAGTAAAAACAAAAAACAGCTGCATGAGTCGTGACTGTCACGTTAGCCTGATGGGACCAAACTCTCAGTACCCAGATTTGAAGACTACAGTAAGATTTAACTTCTACTGTTAATAAGATTTTGGTAGGCTACTATTAGATGGATAGCCTAAATGTCCTAATTCAGATGGGCTACCTGTTTTTTTTTTTAAATGGTATATCAAAAAGTGTATATTTTTTAAATGTGATTTTGGTACATTTTACCAGTTTTTACCATACTTTCAAAACAAAAATTAAAATAGGAAAAATATGCAATATGAAAATAATTGAAGACAAAATGTGTTTTACTGAGAAAAAACAAGATTTGGTTTTTAAAAAGCCTTTTTTCAAAAGGTACATCTGGAAAAAGGAGGGTCGTCTTATATTCAGGCCAATACGTTAATAAAGAACAGTTGTTTTTACAAATTAATTCATAAATTCCATGCATATTCAAAAACACATTAGTACATTTGCATTTCGGCCATCACAAACTGACCCCATCTTCCTTTCTCTAACATCAAAACAGAAACTGTAAATCAGTGAGTCGCGTCACTAGGTGAGCATGAATCATCTCGCTGCACGTCATCCGTACCTGTTATGAAATATAAACTGCAGACTATAATCTCAAATAACTGAACAGAAAACATCTCACTTTCCATCAACCAGTGATACTTCATACTCTCAGAGAAATCCATCGCAAACAGCCATTATTTGTTATGTGGATGGATCACGGATGGATAGAGACAAGTACCAGAAACAAACAGCCGTATCTAATGATCCCCTGCACTTCCTCAAACACACACCATTGATCATCCAGAGACTCTCAGAATAAACGATCACTGACACAATAAATCCCCACGATATAAAGCAGCTGTTCTCACGAAGCATTCACTCTGCTAACACTAATACAGCCACTGCATTTAACAGAGAGCACACAAGATGGAGAAAAGACAAAAATTCATAACAGACTGCCTACCTCACTCGCTCGTCACACTAAGATCTGAAGCACAGCAGAAAATGAGAGATGAACTGCTGCTGCTTCAGCGCAGCCTAACTCACTGAGAGAGTGAGAGAGAGAGAGAGAGAGAGAGAGAGCCCAACATGCTGGCAGACATCATCATCGTCATCACACCCGGTAGCCATGGCAACCGCTGCACACCCACAGGCATTCACCGTCAGCTCCCATCATTATGTTCCCCATGAGTCTCTCTCTCTTCTCATTGATCCATCAGTGTTTATCCATCAGCAGCCACACACCATCCAAACACTGCAGCGTTTGGGTCAAACGACATTACAGCATGAAACTACCGATTTACAGCTGAATAAAATTTTTTAAAAAAGAACATTTTAAGGTTACTGCATATCCGTTTCCATGGTAACAGCAGCCTCTTTGATGGAGCTCTTTTCAGAGCTCATGGGTAATGTAGTTCTTCACTGGGAATTAGGTTTATTTTAAATGAAGATAAAAATCACTCTGACTTGAGGTTTCAACAGAAGTATATTTAATTTCAGAGCTCAAGGTAGGTCTGGGTTGAAAACTATACATTTTCAGTCATTTTCGATTTGCAAGCACTATTTTAAAGTGCAAACAGTACAATCATGTATTTAAACTCAATAGCAATGCGATAGAGTTTTTTTTAATATAGTATTTGTTATATATTGTGTTTGAATCGGTTTCTCTTAAAATCCCAGATATTCAAAAGTTTGTGATCAGTAAAATTTTTAAAGTTTTTTTTAAAGACGTTTCTTATGCTCATCAAGGCAGCATTTATTTAATCAAAAATACAGAAAAAAAATTAAATTTTGTGAAACATTATTTCCATTTAAAATAACAGTTTTCTATTTTAATATACTTTAAACTATAATGTATTCCTGTGATCAAAGCTGTATTTTCAGCATCATTACTCCAGTCTTCAGTGTCACATGATCTTCAGAAATCAGTATAATATGCTGATTTATTATCAGTGTTGGAAACAGTTGTGCTGCTGAATATTTTGGGGGGTCTGTGATACTTTTTTTCAGGATTCTTTGATAAATAAAAAGTTAAAAAGATCCGTGTTTATTCAAAATAGACATTTTGTGTTACATATACTATACTATTTAAAGGTTTTGGGTCAGTACATTTTTTCTCTCTTTTTTTCTTTAAAGAAATTAATAGTTTTATTCAGCAAGGATGTACTAAATGGATAAAAAGACTTATTTTGTTAGAAAAGATTTCGCTTTTGAATAAATGCTGTTCTTTTTAACTATTTATTCATCAAAGAATCAAAGATAAAAGTATCACAGGTTCCAAAATAATATTCAGCAGCACAGCAGTTTCAACACTGATAATAAATCAGCATATTATACTGATTTCTGAAGATCATGTGACTCTGAAGACTGGAGTAATGATGCTGAAAATTCAGCGCTGCGTCACAGAAATACAATACATTTTAAAATATTACAGGGTTTTTTTCTATATTTTTGATCAAATAAATACAGCCTTGATGAGCAAAAGAGACTCCATTAAAAAACATTAAAAATCTTACTGATCCCAAACTACTGAACAGCAGTGTTTGCTCATTTTTAATATTTACACAGTTACATATAGATTAGAAATATATTTTGTGTTGGTAAGTTGGCAGTGTGTAAACGCAGTAGACACACATTTTTTAAATGAATTTTTTGCTTGTCCTGTTCAAACTTAAGATATACAATTGAAATAAATTATTCCTGTTTACTGTTTTCATCCTTTTTGACCCATGTAAACAGCTTTAAAAAAAGACTCATTTTTATTTGGCCTTGTAATTTATTACTACCTCTTCATTGTACATAATCTAATAAGGGACAAAAAAACCTAAACACAACTTTTGATGTTCAATAAGTCACAAAAAAAAGAAAACATTTCATTCAATGGGTCATGAAACACTTTTAGATTTTAACCGTAACATATATGTTGCACATTATAGAACATTTGTTGATTTTATATTTAGGCTAAAGGTTAGGTTTAGGGGTTTTTTTGTGGTATTTTCATCTTCCGTGGTAACTATTTAGATTGTGTCAACAGGATGTGACAGCCGTGGCGATTTCCTCTGACAGACACATCAAACTGTGAGAGACTGCAACCTTGTTGAGAGACGTGAGTTTGAGGGTTTTGCGAGGCTTTCTCCACAGTCACGGTTTCTGTGCAATCCATCTACACTGTGAGCGATCAAATGGCTTATATTTGTGAAACACTTACAAATATTAATTAAGAGAGCAAAGAAGAGAAAGATGGGTTTTTTCGTCTTTTTTCCATGCAATGGTAAATTGAAGTGTGTTATTTACGGGAGATTCTTGTTTTTACCTCAAAATAAAAAAGATTGGTACTAAGGTGGTGTTGATGTGTCGTCGTCCCTCCATTTTTTCGCTTAAAGGAATAGTTCAGATTCTGCTGAAAATTTACTCTGGACTGGAGTGGCTTTTTATTTTATTTAGTCCCTTAACCGATTCGGCCGTCGGGGAGACATGAGGGAAGAAGTAGCAGACAATGCCCTCCACTGATCTCTGTCTTGAGCAATCTTGAGGAGCTGTGGAAAGGGCCTGTCAGTCCACTCCATTAGATTGTCAGTCCAACTCTTCCTTTGACAACTTCCACTGTGCCCTGAAGAATGGTCTTGGATAGAGATGCACCGATTGCAATTTTCTTGGCCGATTCCGATTTCTCTAGTCTTGGAGAGGGTATTGTGGCGCGTCACATGGCCAAACCACTGGAGTTTCCGCCTCTTCACAATGGCCAGAAGAGGATCATGGGAGACTACCAGGCTGGTGCATCTGTCCCGGACATAGTCATTGGTTTTTCGCTTTAAATAGGTAATCCCCATGAGCTTTCTGAGGCATTTGAATTCAAAGGCCTGAATCCTTCTCTCGTCTTCAGCTAGAAGTGTCCATGCCTCACAACCGTATAGCAGGACGAAAACCACCAATGACTTGAACAGGGGGTACTTTGTGCCTTTGCTTCTAAAGATCTTTTGGAGCCTTGACATTACAGCAGTTGCTGTAGCAATTCTGATACGGATTTCTGCTGTGCAAGAGCCATCTTTGGATAATGTTGCACCCAAGTATTTAAAGGGGCCATCATTTTTCCTTTCTCTTTGGAGTGTTACAAGCTCTTGGTGCATAAAGAAGATCTGTAAAGTTGCAAAGACTAAAGTCTCAAATCCAAAGAGATATTCTTTATAAAAGTTAAGAGTCAGCCACACCTACCTAAAACGGCTCGTTCTAACACGCCCCCACATATCTACGTCACGATGTGGGAAGATTTGCATAACGCCGCCCAAATGTTCACGCAAAGAAAGAAGGCGTAACTTTTATTCTCGCTGTAGTATTGTTGTTGCCGCCGCCATGTCGTGAAGGCGCTGTGTGTTTCGTTGTGAAAGCGAAACTACTTTGTTTGGTCTTCCAAAAGAGGACACGACTAGAAATCAGTGGTTAAGTTGCATTTACAACACTGTTCCAGAACACTTCAACCCAAATATTCGGATGCGTGCGATGCATTTTATGGAGGATGAGGACTGTTTCCTGAACCAGTAGCCTACAATGCGTCTGTGGCACAAAGGCTGTTTCTATAAAGTGGGGCAGTTCCAACTTTGCAAGGACAGTCTGGCGCTTCTGACTCACAGCCTGTAAGTAAGTTTTTTATATTGAAATAATTTGCCACTGATGATTCAAACGCGAGTTTTGGGCAGTGTAGAGTAGCGCTTGTTTTCTGTCATTTGTCCGATCACAAATGCAGACATAGTTTTAGGTTTACGCGGCACGATACGCAACGCAACGTGTAAAAAGACAGTACAAGTAATTATAATCAGTAATTATGTCCCCACTGGATGCAACGAATGCCTTGTTTTAATGGGTTTTATTGGTTTTGTCTCGTCCTGCTGGGAGACGGCATCACAGTATGGTAAGGGTGTAACATTTCTGTCACACGCTTGAGGTATTCGGCCAATCACAACGCACTGGATAGCTGGCCAATCACAGCACACCTCGCTTTTCAGAACGATGAGCTTTGTAAAAATCGACGCATTTCAGAAAGGCGGGGCATAGAGGAGAAACAATAATGTACAGTATGTGGAAAATAATTCCAACCTTATTCCAATAATTCCAACTAGTTTTTTTTAACCTTAAACCGCATAAACACATTTCATTACACCAAATACACAAAATAATGTTATTTTTATCAACATCATATGACCCCTTTAAATCCTTCTACCTCTTCAAGCTTTTGCCCTCCCATGGTAATGTTAGTGGTGGTGTCTTTAACGCTTTTTTCCTGTGCTGATTTCCATGGCATATGCGCCTGCCCTCTCTACTAGCTCGTTGGTCAGTTCTTGTAGCTCTTGGTTGCTGCCAGCCAAGAGATCTATATCATCAGCAAATCCTAGGTTGCATTTTGCTCTGCCATTGATGGAGATGGATGTATGATGGTCTTGGAGAGTCTCTAGCATTATGGTTGAAGAGTATAGGTGACAGTACGTATCCTTGTCTCACTCCAACGGTTGTTGGGAAAAAATCCCCAATTTGGTTATTTAGGAGGCCAGCGCTACTTGTTCTTTCATACAAGGCCTTCACTATCTCTACTATTCCCTCATCGACCTTAAAATTCCTGAGTACTTGCCACAGGCCATCATGCCACACCCTATCAAAGGCGTGGAAGAGCTCACGCTGATGCTGCAGATACTTTTCTGTGATGAGCCTACAGTTAAAGATCTGTACTTGTGGTTTATATGTGGATTAATGTGAGGTTTTTATCAGCTCATTTCTCCAAATCTGATGAAGAAAAACTCATCTGCATCTTGGATGAGCCGAGGGTCTAGGTCAGGGTTCCTCA